GCCGAGCCCCGGCCCACGCCACCAGCCGCTTCTCTCCCGCCGACCAGGGCTTCAGGCGGGCGGCTCGCGGCGGCGCTGAGGCTGGTGCCCGCTGTGAGCACGATCTCCCACGTCTTTCAAATCCAGCCATCAAATGTGGGCTTTTGAGCTATTTCCCGTCTTCCCGATTGCCTTTGCCAGCCTTGTTTTAAGCCACCCCCTGGGGCTCCTGGTTGCTGACGTACTTCGGGGAGAACCCTGCCCATGGAGGCCGCTCCAGAGCCCGTCCTGACCCCTTTGCTCAACCCCTGCCAACTCCTCCCTGACTGTCCGCAGCAGCCACGGAGCTGGTCCCGTTCCGCGTGGCCCTGCCCTCGGCCCGTCCAGGCTGGGGCTCCTCGCGCCTGCTATCAGAAGGGGCGTTTGTGAGGAGGAGACTGCTCCCCAGACACACTACACTTTACGAACTTCTCTAGAGAGGATTCTTGGGGTATTCCTTAGCTCTATTGGCAGACCACAAGCTTCGCGGGGGGCCCCTCGGAGCACCCACAGCCGCGGACACCGGCCTCCAAACAGAACCTTCCAGCGCAGTGTGCTCACGGCCCGAGGCGGGAGCCGACCCGCCCAGAGGCGCAGGGCGAGGCCTGGAATGACTCAGCCCCGGCCCAGGCCCGCACGCTGTGGGGTGTCTGCATCCGCCCCCCGCCAGGCAGACCCTCAGAGGCGGCCAGAGGAGCAGTCCGGGGGCGGGGCCGGCCCGGTGCGGACTCCTCGCCACAGGACGCGGACGTCCTGACCCGGACAGAGGTGCCTCGGCCGGCCGCTGACGCCCTGCGGCCCTGACCCCCGCCTCGCACAGAGGCGCCTCCTGCCCCCTCTGGAGAAGGGCCCGGAGGCCTGCGGCTGGCTCAGGTGAGGGCCACTCAGCCCTGAGGCCAGACGCTGCCCTCCCCGCAGGACCAGGAGGCCCCAAAGGCCCAGAACAACATGGAGGGCGAGATGGGGGGAGGGGACGGCGGCCTCCGCTGGGGAGGGGCGGGTGGTCTGGCCCGCACCCTCCCGACGCCCCTGCCCTGGTGGCAGGCCCCCCTTCGGTAGGCCCGGGGGCGTGGGGGAGGCCACAGTCCCTGCCTCTCGCAGAGGGGTGCAGCCCCGGCCCAGGGGACACGTGTCCTTGGGGTGAAGAGCGGCCGGGAGCAGGTCTCGACCCAAGAGGGCCGCCTGGTGGGGGAGACGGCACTGGGGTGGGTCGAACCCCACAGACCCAGGCCCGAGGGTGCCGAGGGCACCTGCTGCGGGGAAGGGGCGCGCCCTGCAGCGGTCTGGGGTGCTGGCACTTACAGGAGCCCCGACAGTTTAAGGACCCAACAAAGCCCATTTTTATTTTTTAAGCAAAAGGTTCCTGGAGAACGAGAAAGAAGGGGAGTTGGGGCTGCAGGGGTGTGGAGGAGAGGTCAGTTTGTTTTCTTAAAGTTGGGGCTCCTTCCTTGGCAGACCTGGGTCAGCAGCAGCGCTTGTGACAGGAAAGCCTGCCTCACCTCGGGGCTGTGCCCCCGCCGGCCGGGCAGACCCCGGGGAGGGCAGGGGCCAGCCGGCGTCAGAGCGCGCCGCGGGAGTGTCCCCGGAGCACTGGGCAGCGCGGCGCCTCCGAACTAACCGGCAAAAAGGGAAAGTCCTCGGTGGGGCCACCCCAAAGGACCCGCAGGGCGCCTCGCA